TAGATTCTATTGTCTGATTACTGACTTACCAGGGGCAAGTGTCAAACTGATTACCTGGGGAATATTCTTAGTGGATTTCAAACTGTTTTAATTGATTGATTTTTTAATATTTTCCCCCTGGTGTAGAATTTTTTACTCCTTTTTAAGAGAAAACCTGAAAATCTTGTCCATTGGGGTTACTATTTACACAATCGTTATTATGTTAAATATGCCTTTTGTATAAAGAGGTCAGTAGAGTAGGTAAGGGTAAAATTGCCAATTTATTCAGCAAATAAATTATTAAAGGATAATCTTGGGGTGTAGTCATTATTCAGTATATTTGATATAATCTTATAAATGTCAATCAGTTCCCCTTCCTTACAAAATCTTCTTAATTTATAGCACCTTTAGAGGCTTTTATTAGGATCTGATGTTTTTGAAATTGTCCTTTTGAATAGTTTGTTACAAATTGATATCCTCTTATGTCTTCAGAGTGCTGAAATTGTCTGTATAATTGTTACTGCAGGCCTTCACGTAAAAGGAATGTCATCGCGCTCGCTCTCCTGGACGCGTCTGGATGTCAGTCGAGGTGCGCTTTTTATCGCTCATCTCAATGTCTAAATTGACTCCCCTCAAAGAAAATAATCAGGAAAAATATACCGGTAACTAAAAATAAATTCAATATCGACAATCAACTTGCTTGTCGGCTACAATAACAGTCATACCTTAGTGAGAATCAGCCATCTGGTTCATAATCCGAGTAATTAGTGCTCACTTGTAACGGTAATTTTGATAATTTGGTAAAAAAAACAAAACTAGTTTGCTGGTTATTCATAACAGGTCCAGCAAGTTTCCTTTGTAAAAATAAGCCACATGGTGATTGAAGACATCTCACTCGGCATGGATTTTGAATCTCAGGATTCGTGCCGTCTTTGACGCTCGATCCGTACGAATTCCAGGTAGATATTAAAACAATAATTGGATCATACATTTTATGGTTTCACTGTTAGTTAAATTTAAATAGTCACTTTGAATAATCCCTGATAAAACACTGAATATCCCGAGAAACAGACAATAAAATATTTTTCCATCACGATCTCCGATTCCCGATAACACAGGAACATGCATCAGTTGGAATTAGGTCAATAAACCAGCATTGCTAGATTTAGTTTTAAATAGCGTTTTAGTTTTATTCTTTTTTATTTTATATACATCCTGACAGGGAGTTATTTTTAGAAGTCTGGTTATATTAAAGTTGACAGGAGCTTCTAATTACCCTATTTCATACCCAGTCATTGTCGAAAAAAGCTCCCCTTAATGAACAAATTGAAAAACATCACTCCCCTAAAAAAGCTCTCCCAGTTTCGATAAGAAGAGGGATTTAGAAATTAAGGAGAATGATCTGATATTAAGGAGAGTGATTAGTTGTATATATAGGAAATGGTTCTGAAGATCAATAACTGCGTGTAAGGGGTCATTCCTGGTTACATGAATGATAATAAACATCCTCTGCTAAATAATAGCACTCATAGTCGTACGGTCTGGTCAAACTTCTGCTATCATCTATAACTACATACAGTATTCCAATAGAAATACTTGTCGACATTTCTAAATATATATATAGCTTGTATAAATTTTGTTTAAAAACACAACCCCTATTTACAGTATAATCATAAACGCTTGACAATTCCATCAAAATATAATCTATTTCTTTTCCGGAATTATTCTCATTGGAAATTTTCCCGTGCCATCTCTCGTAATTTCTCACATCTCGCGAGAGTTCTAGTTTACATTCAGTTAAATTGACCAAAGACACATAGGTACCATCTATTTTTAGCAACATATTCATCAGAATTTTATTACGATGTGCGATCACATTATACACTAATCGAATACACCAAATAAATGTTCACATTGACAGCATGGCGGCGATCGGAATGCGAGTCTTTCACACTCTTTTGAAAAAAAAAAATACATATGTCTATGATTTACAAATAAGGAGAGTGATTTTCAATTTTAAAGCAAGGCAGAAAAAAATCTCCCCTCGGTCAACATTCAGGTGCGCGACATGCACGAGCGAACGATCACAGACCTCAAAAAACAATGACCGCATACCGGGACCTTATTTGACCCAATTCTGGCCGGTTGGTTTCGAAATGGATTAAAATCCCTGTTCCTATCACAAATGCAAAAAAGCTCTCCTCAAGAGATTCAGGAGAGCTTTCTCAGGATAGCGATTTACCCTTTTTCCAATTTCAATAGAAATTTTTTTGACTCTCCAGGTATTTTTTCACGTGAAGGCCTGTTACTGATCTCTACTAAGGTATGTAACAATAAAATAATGTCCTTTTAGTTTGCACTTTTGGCATCTTCAATTAGTTGTATATTGATCAACCATAGCAAAGATCTCTATGTTAAGATTATATTGTAAATTCTGTAGATGTTGGAATTGTCCTTTAATAAGTTATTATTACTCTGTATATGTTGACTTGATTTGTTTAACCTGAATGATAAATGAACCATGCAATGTTTGTATTCAGTATAGATCTATACAAATGATAATAAAAATGGCTGTGTCATATTATTGCCTAATAATGTCAAATAGTAATAATAGCTGTGACCTATTTGTTTCCTGTGACTTGAGTGATTTTGTAGACATGACCACCTTTGATGATCTTAAATCTACCAAGGATTGTTTTTATTTAAAAATTGGCTAATTTCAACACAGTGTTTCGACAAAAGATTTTTTTTAAGTTAATGGTGTGTGCTCCCGAAGGCAAATTCATAATTGTATCTCTAATTGCGAGTTTCAGTTTTACACGATAGTTCTGATGTCATAACAACCTATTCCCATACCGAGTTTCAGGTCAATTTGATAGTTCTTAGTAATCTGACACTATTGAGTTTCTGTTCAACACAACACATCTTATTACTGTAATTTATTTTAATCATATTATTCATACTTCGTTTAATCTACTCATAAGCTTCATGTAAGAAAAGGTGGAATCATTAATTGAAGATGAGACAGATGACACCAAGTTGAAAACTTGTTAGCGTCTTCATATTTCTAGGTTATTTTGTTTTATTTCAAAATTTTGGTTATAATAGTCACTATTTCTATAAATGGTGGATGTAAAAGGATATATTGCTGAAGACTGTTCAGCTTTTAGTATAATTAAATATCCCTAAAATGTCATGTCATTGTAAATATTAAATGTGGGTTATTGGTTTTATTGAAACCTGTTTGTAACATCAATAAAATGTAAATATTTTACAAGTCTCTAGTTACAATATGTTTGACGCACATGAAGTGTGCCCTTTTTTATATTATTTTATATGAGCTTATATGTTATAATAATTGTCATGCCCTGAGGTGGTCTTAGTTCTTTACCAAACTGCTCCATGTGTGTATGATCTCTAAACTATTATGTGGAGTGTTATAGCCCAAGGGAAGGGAGGGAACTCTTGTAAAGTTAGTTTTTTATGGAGGCAGACCATCATTTGTCTCTTTGCCTAGCTCCATTTTTCCCAAAATTTCACTACAGACAAAGAAACAAATGGTCATGTCTTGGCACCAAATTTTGTATGAGGTTGACCAGCAAAATTTTGAGGTGTGCAAACTTGTAGCATGCTAAAAACATTTGCTGTGCGTATATCACTTTAACCAACCTGTTAAGCAACCCTGTTATCCCTCTGCCTCTTAACCATGAATATTTACCAAAATCGTCAGAAAATTTAAATTCAACCCCTCTTCATCAGTTCTAGACCAACAAATCAACAAAATTAAAATTGCCCATGCAAAAGGGTAGAAAAGAGAGAGAAAATTGCTATAAATACACAAACTACAATTTGTGGATCCAGCTCGCCATTAATTCCCTTCTTTTGTTTACCCTCAAGTGTAGTTCTTTCTATCCAGTTAGTGTATCGGCCGAGAAAGTTCATCAGGATTTTCCGACGTGGTTTCCCCCTTGTCAGTGGTGCAGAACGGAGGGCCTGACAAGGACAGCTGTCTAGTCCTTCGGATGAAACGGAAAATCGAGGTCCCGTGTATATATTGGAATGCACGTAAAAGATCCCCTGGCAGTTGGAATTCGATATAAGAGAAGGCGATAGTGCCGCTGTCCGGGCAAAATTTCCCTCATAGCACACTGTATGGCATATGCCCATCTTCATTAGCCCAGCATAGGAGCAGAACAGTAAAATGTTAAACCCCATTTCATTTCATTTCATTTCTTAAGATTTCTCCATTGCAACCTCATACATGCCTTCGCCCTTTGAGCAACGTGTTGGCACGTTTTTCCATCTGTGGTAAAAAGCATTCAACCCAACGAAAATATAAGAAAAAATTAGAGCTGTTCAAATAAACAAAAATTAGCATTATAGTCAATAAATAAATCAATTGTGGCTATACATTCCAGCATCTAAATCTACAATGGATCAGACTATGGATATGATTATAATAGCTATTTAAGCAAATCTAAGCACAAAAATGTGTATAATCAAGTGGCTTACTCAGAATATTAAAGCCCCATCTCCCATAATAGTACATTGTGGAAAAATATAAAGTTTTTACCAACGATTTAACTTTTATTAATCAACTGTTTGATTAAATGGCAACAAATTTTTTTGATTGTTACTGTATTTGAAAGTTTGTTTATTATATTGAGCCTTGGCAAGTACCAATAGTTAACAAAGAGTGTAAAAATATGTTGGAAGTATGGGCAGATATAACAGGAGATTTATGCAGTTGCATATCCATCGTGGAATGCAGCTTTGCACATCTCCCTCCTTATCTTCATTAGCCCAGTTGGAGCAAAACAGTAGCACGTTAAACCCCATTTCATTTCATTTGCAGATCTCCCCATTCCCCCTCATAGCTACCACCATAGAGCCAAGTTACAAAATTTTATTATGTATTTCATAGAGCAATCCACTTTTCCTAGTTCCACCTGTTTTTACTACCTTTAGAATGTTGGTTTTATGACTTTAAATCTATAGCTTCTACAATTTTTTTATTTCAGAAAAAGTGGCCATAAAAATATTGGATAAAACAAAGTTGGATCAAAAAACACAAAGACTTTTGTCACGAGAAATAGCCAATATGGACAAATTACATCACCCTAATATAATTCGTCTATATGAAGTAGTAGAAACATTAGCTAAATTACATATGGTTATGGAATATGCTTGTGGGGGTGAAATATTTACCAAAATATCTAATGAAGGTAAATTAACTGAAGCTGAGTCAAAGGGTCTGTTTGCTCAAGTTGTGGCTGCTGTAGAACATATGGTAAGTACTGGAATAAGTTTTTATTTTTGGACAATGTTAATCAGTTGAACTAGCTCAATAAATACTTCAGAAATTTAATAACTTTATGTGATTCTGAAAAGATAAAATGTTATGAAATGGAGGTTTTAATGCATGGATGCTGTTTCCAACATCTATGCAATTTATAACAAAGAATTACATGTACTGGTGTAAGTAAGTCGGATCTCTAGCCCGGTTAAACTTTAACGTCCTTCTTTTCTGCACCAACCAGACTTAACAAAGAACGTTTCTGAAAAGATAATAATTTAAATACATCATCAGATGAAAGAGAAAATCCAAACAAGTCAGAGAGAGAGAGACAGGTCATTTCGGGACATATGGTTCAATTTTATTTCAATAATTCACTTGCACATAGGGGTCTTTAGCAGTAGGAGGAAACAAGAAGTCCCAAAGAAAACCCACGAGGTTGGACAGGCAACCCTACTCCTTGTCACCTACAGCTTGAGAATCGAAACCCTGACAGTTGACTTAATGACAGACTTTATGATACAGCACATACGCGCTAATCATTCGGCCATCCACCCCCCACCTGAATCTAAACATTACTTGATCCTAAAGACATTCAAACCTAATTGGAAAGACCCCAGTTTACACTATAAATTTGATCTCGACTGATCTTTTCTAGCCTCTCGCTCTCGACTCTATAATTTTTAAAGGCGAAGTGTATCCCCTCCACTTCCCATTCTTATTTTGTATTATATGCTGTATTTGTTGAATTGTCTGTACATTATTCGAAAAATAAAATTGTTGTAAATTCTATATGCTGATCTAATTAACAATAATTTATATTACAGCACGATCAAAACATCATACACAGAGATTTAAAAGCTGAGAATGTTTTCTATGCTTCACCGACACTAGTTAAAGTTGGTGATTTTGGTTTTAGTACAATCAGTCGGCCAGATCAAACTCTTAATACATTCTGTGGATCACCACCTTATGCTGCTCCTGAACTATTTAAAGATGAGAGCTATTTTGGTTCGTATGTGGATATTTGGGCATTAGGGATAATGCTGTACTTTATGGTGACAGGAATAATGCCGTTCCGTGCTGAAACTGTGGCCAAGCTCAAAAAGTGTATATTGGATGGAAGTTACTCAATACCTTCTTATGTGTCAGATAGTGGTCAGTTTCTTATTAGGAGTACTTTAAAACACATCCCACATGATCGCTTTACAATTGCCGAAATCAAGCGAAGTGAATGGCTAAGAGACCAACATTTCCCCAAGCCTTTTGAGCCATATAATCTAAATCCAACCCCACAAAGCCAGTCAAAGCAGTTAAGTGATGAGGAGCAGGAGGCTCGTAAAATACTGAAAGAACTGGGGATCACAGAAGACCTCCTTTCAAAGGGAGCAAGTACAGATTCAAGAAACAGTATTACTGGTAGTTATAGAATAGTTCTACATCGTGTCCAGAAGAAAAATGCTGGCGTTGTAGAAGGCATGATGATGGATTTACCTAAAGAACACAATTTGCTGGATAACCGAAAGTCTTCAAAACATTCGGCTCCACATTCCAAATTTTGTACATTATTATAATGTAACATATTTTTTAAATATTACAGATATCAAGAGTTTAGTTCCAAAATGGGATATGTGCCAATTTTGTATGTTATTATTTTAGAAAAGTGTGTTAACTTTTCTGGTATTAAGATACATTATGGGAGGTAAGATAAAGAGATGGCAGTTCTCGCTATAATAGTTAAAAACTAGATAGTGTAAAGGTAATTTGCTGAAAATTTCAGTCAAATTGATCCACTATGAGCCGAGAAAGAAGCGGGTGAAATTTTTGCATAGTCTCAGTCATCATTACTAAAATCATTGAAATAAACAACATAGTCTCGATTATCCACTTTTATTGATTTAATTATCAACGGCCGTTAGCGGCATATAGGAATCTAATCCAGCCAACACCGAAGGCTAGCCTTGACATCGAGAGTTTATTATGGTCTGGATAAGTTAATTAATGTCTAATTGATAATTTAGATAACATTTCAGGCCTAAAGAAAGACTTGTAATAAGCAGATTTTGCTCTTGCATAATGCATGTTTATTATAAAACAATTATAAAGCGCACGTCTGTCACTGAAGTTTTCAGAGGGGCTGTACAAGTTCCAATACATGTAGGATATCATATCCATGTAAGGGGCGGGGGGGGGGGGGGGCTGGATGGCCGACGAATGTTTAGCATGTGCGTGTAAGGTCGGTCATTGAGTCAACTGGCATGGTTTCGATTCCCCCGTTTGTACGAGTCGCCTTTATCCGAGTCCTCTGTTTTCCTCCCACTGCTAAAGACCCCTATTATTGAAATAAAATTGAACCATATGTTAGTCCCGAAATGACCTAGTTTGTGTCGAGTGGACTTTAAACCCCATTTCTCTGTCCATGTAATCGAATATATTAATATCCACAGAATTTGAAACATAAAGCTCTAAGAAGGGTTGTTATAGTCAAAATAAAAGCAACATCAGAAAAAAGCACTAATAAAGATAGTTAGATTACATGCATGCTTTTAAAATAAATGAGTCTTAAGGGATTTTTTGAATGATTCAAAATGTTTTTGGGAATATATTGTTATGATGATGTGCCAAAATCTTGATTGATTGACATTTATTTATATTACCGGTACTTTTACTTAGTTCCAATCTTGTGGACAAGCAGGAGAATAAAGTTTTTAAATGTGGAGGTGTATAAATATTACATCATAAAACTACATGTGCATAAGATTGTAGGGGATCAACAATCATTATTTACTGTAAAGCAATTGTTGTGAAGATTTGACAAAGTCACTACCACAAACTAAGAAAACCTATCTTTTGCAGGGGAAATAAACTGACCAAACTGTTTTGTCAAAATCTAGATTTCCCATTTTGGAATTAAAACTCTTCAAATATATATATATTACATTGTTAACACTTTTACTTGTTGATTATTTATATAGATATTATATATACATATTTATTATATTTTATTGTTTAGTGTGAATGTGAAATAAAATAGTCATTTACTAGTTCATGTGAACGACTCCAATCATATTTTAGCTGGAGGAGAAAACTATACAGTGTATAATTAAACTGGCTATAAAAGGTCAAATTGCTCAAAGCAGTGATTTCTGATAAATATGTTTTTATGGTGATTTTGTAGTTTGCTGTGTAATATTTCTGTTTAATAAGTTAGTTATATATGTTAAACAACCATCAGCGATGAAAAGATAGCATGTATACAGCCTTAAACACAAAGTTAATTAGAAGAATTCCCTACCTCGTGTTGTAATATTAGGATTGTGTTCATGATTTAAATTCTACAGTGAATTTGACAAAGCATTGTTAATGAATAAGAGCAAACATAGGACCAACTCGGGCTAAACAAGCCGCGTATTGCTAGTACCTTTTTTCAAATGGTCGTCTGTCAAACCTTGTGGGTGGTTTTTCGTGTTCCTCCAGCCCCCCCCCCCCCCCACACACACACACTGCTAAAGACCCCTTTTTGCAACAAATTATTGAAATAAAATTGGACCATTTGACCTAGTTTATTGAAGTTGAGTTGACATTAAACCCCATTTCTCTCTTTCTTCTTAATTCAGACAGCTCCAAACAAATGACATTATTTTTCTAGCTTTTTTCTAAACATTAATGTTATAGTATATACAAAGCTAATATCTAAGCTATTGTTAAAGATATTTTTCACATAAACAATTTAAAGGTTTTTGATTACAGAATTTAAATATAGGCGTAGATAGTGTTTTATATTTGTGGATTGTGTCATATTTAGCCAGAGCTAAACACTCCATGATTGAAAGCCAACCAAAATGTTAAGACCTATCTTAATTAACAACAAAACACATACTTATTTAGTTATGGGTTTTATAATAAAATGCAGAGTTCTCTATTTGGTCCCCCTAAATATTTACTGGAATATTTACGGTTACTTGACCTAATAAATTTATCTTTAAATAATTTACATTGATATTTGAATTGTATATCCCTTTGTCATGTCATTTTAAATACGGTAAAGTGTTTATTATTTATTTCTTAGCATTTCTAACTTAATTGGTTCTAGAAAATAATGATTTGAAACTGAAATTTCAGTGTTAGAATTTGTCTGCAGAAAAGTGGTATTTTATTTTTTGGTCTTATAAAGTTTGAAAGTAAAAGTTGTTTTTTATAGTGTTTCAAAATCATTGATTGAAATGATCATCAAAATAAACAATAACAAACACATTGCTTGCTGTGTATAATTATTGAGCAATAAACTTTGACAGAGTACAAACATGAAGCATTTAAAATTATATACAGATTACTGTTAGTAATTATTTACATAGTCATGCATATATGTACACAGACACTGATCTTTATTTAATCAGAACATTGTAAAATACTTTTAAAAGAAACTAAATCATTTTGTATATTTCTAATATTTCTTCTTTGATAATCTTTTATTTGTTTTATGTAACTTATAAAAACTTTTAGTAACAACCCTTATCATCTGTTTATTTGTTTTTATTTATTTCCTATGTACATAAACTTCTGAATGAAAAACTGTTATTTCATTGTTGGTTATATGAAATGTTTCCAATTTAAAGGCTGATACCTTTGCTGAGTTCTAAAGCTAAAGAAAGTTATTTTTTTCTTCTGGTTTTGAGTGGTTAAATTATATTGAACTTTCTTTAATTATTCTTCTGAAACAGTAATAAATGTTAATTAGGTGTTTGATGTAATTCATGGTTTGGGGATATACACCAGTTATTGTTTATTGAATGAATTAATTTTCAAAAGAGCTAAAATTATGAATGTAATTTAAGTTTTTAAATAATGGAGCTCTTTTAGTTGTGTGAATATTAAAAGATAATTGTTTGGTTGATACTTCTCTGTGGTTTACATCTCCTAGAACTGTTCAACTGCTAGAAATATTTGTAATATATATGAGTATACCAAAGGTTTTTAAAATGCTATATAAATTCTTGTGTATAGATTGATATCTCTTTCGATCTGTTTCCTTTGTTTTCTGTCTTGAAATCATTTATAAACAAATTTGTAAATCAAAGCTAAAAAAAATCACCCGTTTAAATGTTATAAAGTACAAAATAATTTCTGCGTTTAATCTTGAAGTGATCTTTTAACAATATGTCACATAAAATGAAATATTAGTAGTAAGTAGCAATGTTTAATGCTGGGAAACTACTTAGGGAACTTATCAAATGATATCATTTTTCGCTTTGCCTATCTCTGTATTATTTATTGTTGATTCAGATATGTTATGTTGTTATCACAGATGTTTCCTTCATCAAAACTATATAAAATTGGACAATTACTTTCTCAGTTCTCCATTTTGTCTTGTGTGGCTGCACTTTAGACACAGTTACCTCCCTTTACATTGCTCACTGAGATCTAAGTGCCACCAGTAGTAATCTCTATGATATTGGTTTTTATTGCTACTTGTTATACTCCAGTCATAAAAACTTTTTCTAGAGAATCTCTATTACGATAACTAAGCATGAAATGTATTATAATGGATCTCTTATCATTCTTGCCCAGATATTTGATACATCTTTTCTAGTATTTTTTTTTTATATATTAAATATTTTTAGTAAGTAAGTATTTTCTTTTGCCATCATTCAATGTCTTAGAATTAAAGAAGTTACAGTTTTCACTGGGTGACCACAATAGAAAGCTTTAGTATGTAAATCAAATCCCCAAATGTGACATGACCTATACACCTTATTTCAATGTTTGGAAATGGTAACCAAAATGGTTTATAGGACTTTTACGGTGCTTTCCCTCCAAATTTTTTCAATGCATAGCCCAATAAACGTGATATCATTTGTAAACTTTGCCAAGCACTGATTAAAGTGCAACAGTAACTTGCAAATTCTGTTACTCACCCGAAAACAACCAAAAAACATAAACTTAAAGCAGAAAGTTGTCATTGTATATATTTATAGACAGGATTATCTGGTTGACATATCACAGAGATTCAGATTGTTGACACCATGAATGAACAAAATCCATCCAATTATTTTATAAATTTCATCAAGATGTGATATAATTTCCATTTGATTACAATTTATTTAAGGTATAAGTTAATATTTCACAGTAACCTATATATATGACAAAAGAAAAAAAACATCAACATGTTTTTTATTTATATATTTAAGTAAGGTTAGTACCTGGATTATTATGCTGTGAGTTACTGTGTGTATAATAAAAGCTAGGTGTCATAATGTGCTTATTGTAGTCTGCAGTAACTATATATTTTCACATTGATCCCCCGTCCATGGGCATACAAATTCTGTAAAACAAGAATTTAATGTGAATAGAAAATTAATAAATTAATTTCTACAAGCAATTATGTTATTTAACATAACTAAATAAATCATAAAGTTGTTCCCCAATAAATCCAGAGGTATTATCAAGCATAACACCAATGAATAAAATAATCAATGATTAATTACAGAGTAATGATCGTATAAAAATCTAATAATTCTAGGGTTTAAATTGCAAGAAAACATTTGGCCAACAATGATACAGTGAGTTATATTTATTTCAATTTGCATTTACCCCTACTTCCCCGCTATTACATTACTTTCTTGTTTTATAATTTTGTACCAGAAACTATAAATATAATATGTTGTGGTTAATATCTTGCAATATAATTCCACATTTAGATTTAAACTTTTGATGTGTGTCACAATCTAAAAAAAACTCTCATTATACATGAATAAATGTTATTTAAAGAGACATTGCTATGTACAGACTACTGTTACTGTTAATGATATATTATATATTTATTGAGAAATCTGTATATTTCATGTTAAAAAATATATTAAATTTAATTTTTTAAAAATTACCTTGATAACAGTCTGATTAAAACACAGATCCTATTTCGTTTCGTTTTTTATAGTTCAAAATTTCTTTTTACTTGTCTTCACTATACTAGGATCTGGAAGTGGGAGATTAGCCAATGAAACGGTCTGTTACAACGACTTCTTGGCGTTCCATTCACGGGACTGAGGGTAAACCACTAGAAACGTCAATACTGATTGATTAATCAGTGCCTAACATCATAGGGTCAAAAGCCACTCATAGGACCCCTGACACGACCTTCCAGTACAACTTGTCAGATCTTCATGTAGGGTAGGTC